TTTTTCCTCTAAGAAAAAGGTCACGTAGTGTCTTACACACATCATGGAACCAGAGTGTAAATGCAGAGCCAAAACTCTAGCCTGTGTCCAAGGTATTCAAGGAAAAATAATCAGAATCTGAAAAAAGTTTACAGTAAAATAATAAGCCAGGCTCATTCCTCTTTCCCTTTCACACTCAAGCAAAGGTCAAGATTAAGATAAACATAAATAGGTTTTTTTTTTCCTCCCCATACTTGATGCCTTGTAAAGGACAATGCTAGGGCTGCCTTCACAGTCTGTTCAGAATAAAGAGAAAGGTTATCCAGCAGAGGTCTTGGTCTTGATGGCAAATACATTGATGGGACATTACTCCAAATAGGAGATTTGGGGGAAAGAGCCTCAAGGAAATCTAAAAGAGCTTCGTGTCTCCAGTCTGTCTCAGAACTCAGTCTCTCAAAATGGGTTTTCCCTTCTGCCTGCTGATTAGCATCACTAAGTTTTTTCTTTTCCAAGCACACCGAAGGTGGACAAGTATGGATTTAACTCAACAGTTAACTCTCCCTGAGAAACAGGAGGGGGACCTTTATGATCATCTCCTGTCAAATATTTAAGCTACTCAGCATTTCTGATTGAGCAGTGGACACCACCTACTCTGCATTCTGAAGCAGCTAGCCAGCACGGAAAAGCAGTTGTTTGGGAGTAAAGCACTCAATTCACTTACATTTGTAATACCTGCTATAATGAATTTCCAACAATGGAAAATAAAAAGACATTTCATTCAAACTGTTCAGCATATCTACAAGACATTAAACTGATGTTCTGGTAAAACAATCATTTATCCTATTCCCCTTTTAACTAAAAGCTAGTCAGTCTGTGCTTTGGGATAAGGATTGAGAATACCATTCTTCAGAAAGAGGTCATTTCATACAACACAGAGTTCAGTCCCAGCATATTAGAAAGGTTTTGGATTTAGTGTTGCTCACAGGGACTCTGCCTCCTGGAAATTGATATTCCAGCATGGCAATTGTCTTTACTGAATGAGCAATAAATATATATATAGATATATAAGGAAACAAAGAAGGAAGTTGGGGTATTTGCTTCTCTTCTCTACCCTGGTTCTACGTTTTCCATCCATTCATGCAAACTCCAGCTTCTTTGGGTGCTTCTCGGTCCCCATCTCTTTTTCTTTGCCAAGGCAATTCCACTCTTATTTTGCCTCCAGAATGCATCTCCCACTCCAAGCACCCATCCTACACAGCATTGCTTTGTATGTCCTACTCTTGTTCCTTAACACAAGGTCCTCAACTCCCTACATGCCCTCCATTTAATCTGCATTTCCTAAATGCTAACCCATCCCACCATCATTCCTACCTGTAACAGACTTTCCCAAGCCATTCCAAGCCCTTTATAGCTCTTAAAATAACCTCTAACAGTGGTTTTCCACCCCCACCCCTCCCCAGTGCAGACCTTGTTGTCTCCCAACACCAGGATAGTTCCCACTGCCCCAGCTCTGCATTTAGCCAAGCCAACAGTACATCTACCACTGCTTTCAGCAAGACCCAAATTGAGTCTTTACATTTCAACAGAACCAGATGATGTCTACTTAGCATGAAATGTAGTTATTGTCCAAGATTTGTATGTTCCAAGCAATTTCTTAGCATAATAAATTTTAAATCCGTTGGGTTTAAGTGTTTGGAAATCATCTGCTAGCATATGTAGCAAGTTTGTTCTTATTTTCATTATCTATGCAGATCTAAGAAATTCCAATTATGAAAGGCTCTACTCTGTAAGCTTATTAAAAGTTAATATTCACCACAACACTGTCTCTCTATTCCACTGGTTCTTTGCAATCGCCTAGCAAAGAAAATAAGCACCGGGCTTTTTAAGAGACAGACACACTTTCTTACATAAGAAGACTCAGTCTTGTTCTCTCCAAAGCACTCACACAGGTGAAAGTCACAATTTTCCTGACTTTTCTTTCTTTTCCAAACCAATGCAGCATGAGAGAAAGTAACTAAGGCAGATGGATCACAGACAGGTAATATGACATCAAGGCTTATTCCTCAGAGGCAGTCAGCAAGCACCAGAAGATGATCTTAAGGATCTAGAGTAACACCAGCAACCTTCTCAAGAGAGGAATCCTTTGAGCAAGCACATTGCTCATCACTTCCATCCTGCTTTGGTTTAATGAACCAACTACTCTTGGCAACAAGCAGCAAGAGGATCTAATTTGACTGTTACTATCCCTTTATGTTTTATTCAATCATTACATCAGAATAGGCATTTTAATTTTCTTTCACATTACTCAGGGGACCTTGGCACAAAGCAAAATGAAGTCAATTGAGAAATAACTAGCTTAAATTTATATACACCAATAAATCATGCTGCATTTCAACGTGTGTAAGAGAGACATGGGACTTTCCTTCCCTCTGAGCAGCTGCAAGCATAAAAAGAGCAGTGATGCAACATTCATTAATAAAACTTGTTTCTTAGAAATCTCTTCTTGTGGACAGATTCAACATCTGCAAGAGATACCCAAAACATACTCTTTGTGTTGCACTTCCCTTTTTCCATTGACATGTTATACATACCAAAAATATGTTATCAAGTAGGTATGAACACACCATGCTCCCAAATTTTCTTCTAACACATACCTATGTATGTTATAAACAATCAGCAAAACAAGGTAAAAGTATGGCACAGATACAGCAGCAAAGGGAGTTCATCACACATCTCCTCTGGAGAGCTCCGCCTAAAAATACCTTGGGAAACAACAGATAGTTGGCCAGGACTTAAGTCAGTGATGTGAAGGAATTTCTCATTGCCCCATTTACAGCATCTGAAGCAAGAAGTAGCAGAGGATCCTCTTTAAGGACCCAACACCTTGAGCAGTATCCAGCACAGCACAGAAATTTAAAGTGAGCAATTCAGAATGGGCAGCAATTCATCTGGCCAGCTCACACCTCAGCTATCTGCAAATTCCAGACCAACATAACACTCCAGGGCAGTGAGATAGCCAGAAGATTCTCAGCTAAAGAAAATCAGGAAAGAGCACGATGTTCCTTTGCCTGGCTAACCTAGACAACATCTCCTAGACATTAACATGAAATTAAACAGAGAGAGAGGTTGAATTACTTCCAGTGTACAGATACTGCCCGAGTGAAATGTGACAGGTGACCTACAACATAAAAAATGCACTTAGCTGTAAAAACTAGAAAGTGAAGCTAAAAATGAGAAAAATTAAAAGCTGTTCTTGGATATGCAGTAAAATGACATAATAAATGGGAGAAGGAACACAAAAGCACCCAGCTGTTCAAAAGCTGCACTGTTAAGGTACAAAGAAATCAACATTTTTTTAAAAGAAAAAATCCCTCACAACACGAATGAGCTCAATAACACTCAAAACAACATTATTTATTAGAAAAATCATCTGCTCCAGTGCCTGAAGCAAAAGGTTTGCAGTTTATTCCATCATTCCTCCAAATCCAGGGATTAGTGAGAACTTCTTTAAAAATGCCTTCCTTGCCTTATGGTCCTTCAGCTGCTCCAGAGCCAAAGCTCGCTGCTCACAGTCAGTACACAAATCCCTGCGGTGTCACCATCCACTCTGAGCAAGAGAAGGACTCGCGATGGTGAGCGAAGGGCAGCTGCCTGATGTCTAAGCAGGCTGTTCTCAACTCAGTGGCACAAACTCTGCTTTTGTTCACACAGGAATTAAGAGGAGAAAAGGCAGAAATTAATGATGGGGTGATGAGGAGGAACGCTGGGCTGTGCAAGCACATTCAATCCAAGCAACATCAACGCTAGGTGTGGTTTAAAATTCACATTTACTCTTTATTAAAGCCATGCACTGTATTTATGGCTCTTGATGAATTCTGTATCCAAAAGGGACGCATTAGATGATTAAAAATTAGTTGGATTTCTTTCTTTCTCCTGTAGCAGTGCCAGCAGGCAGGAGAGGTAACAAAGGCAGTTCTCTGGCCTTCAGGCACTGCACAGAAGTGGGATACACAGATACATACCCATACAGTCAAACTGCAGTTATTTAATTCAGGGCCTAAGACATGAAGCTAGGCTGCTTTTAATAAATCATGGACAGGGGTGAGCTCCTAACTTTAGTATTCCACTCCTCCCTCTTCCTGCTGAGACAGGCTGGACAACATGGATATCCCTAATACAGATTCAGGACTCAGGGACAACAGCCACCCCAAGAAGCCATTGTTCCAACTACCTTTTCTTTTTGGCATCACACCAGGAAGAATAAAAAGAAGCAAAAAATATTCCATTTATTATTATAGATTAAAACCTCTCTAACTACATAGGAGTTGTATTTTGTAACCTTGTTCTCCAGCTAAAGCAAAGTCTGTTTTGAGGCAATAAAAGAAACAGAGAAATTGCTGAAAAGAAACTGAGGAATGTGAAGCCAAATTTTCAAGCATTGCATGCAATATACCACTCAGGGACATTCTACAGCTCAGCAAATCACAGCTGGAATGCAATGGAGTAGGGAAACAGGGAAATGCTCGACAAAATAGGTGCTACAGCCTCTTATGCTCAGACTCTTAGCCCAAAGTATGTTCCAACTCAACTGAATGGCACTGTAAAACTGAAAAGTACAGACCTTTTAGACTTTTGGCTAGTTTACACTTCTCAGATTTCATTATTTATGCAGCTCCTCTCATTTTCACTACTGGCCATAAGGTTTAGTGCAGTAGCCATCCAAGAACCCGGGGTCACTACTATATTAATAATACAGAATGCAGATCTTGGAGTGCCTTAGTAAAGTACCAACAGAAAACCAAAATTATGATCTTCCTCACAGAAAAAGTAACAAGCAAAAAAAAGAAGTGTGAAAACACTTTTTTTTTCAGATGGCTGAAATTAAGTAAATTCTTAAAATTAATTAAATGCCTGAAATTAAAGTTAATTTAACTGTTGTAAAGTATTCAGAATATACATACAATACAATATACTAGAGTCCAAAATTTAAAAACTTAGTCATAGAAATATGGGGTAAGAGGGATATGTTTATTTGGAAAAATCAGTCCAGCTGAGATCTCTTGGCTACAAATATCTTGAATTTAGTTCTTCTGCCTTCGTAGAACCTCCTGAGAAAATAAAAAAAAAATAATAATAAAAATCATATGGGAAAGACTAGTGTTGAATGCAATCTACTTAGACCTGATACAAAAGTCTGATTTATTCTCTTGATTTATTGTCTTAAGGAAATGAATTAATTATTCTTAAATGAATTAATTATTCTTCCACCCAGAGGTCTATGGCATTAATCCTCGAGTTAAATCAGAGAAAATTCAACCTCTCATGAGTTCCAAGTCCATTGACTTTTCTTGTACTATTCTGTTTCAGGGACAAGTTAATGAGAGAAGTGACATAAAAACTCCTTCACTGTTTTTCATTTGGCACAAAACAGTGTATTTCAGCAGGAGAAAATTCCACTCCTACCTGTATGAATTTAATACCCTTTCTTCACTGCACTGAAATCAAAGCCAGTGATTCCAACCATTGTTAATTGTGCTGAAATAGAGTCCTAGAGACTTGTGAAGTAATCACATAAAATGTAGTGATTGCCTCTACTTCAAATGCTAGCATCCCTTTGGAAGAAGCCCTAAAAGACCTCAAATCCTGAGGTTTATTTATTCAAACAAGAGGCTCAATCACCTTTTTACTTGTAATAAAATTATCTCTAAGTTTTTTAGAGGAACCATGCAATACATAAGAAAGGCTTGGGTTTGATGTAAAGAAATGTAAAAGAAAAGACAATCCAGACAGAGGGACTTGAAGCTGAAGATGCTTCTCACATGCTTTAGAACCCAATAGGAGCTCCCACCTTTTTGTCTTAGTAGCTGACACTTCTCCTGACTGTGTGCAAAAGGAATTAGCAAAACTAGTGCCTGTTCAGTGCAGCTTTGTCAAGGGTCCCTCCCGAGGTCAGAGACCATCCACATCACACCTGCATAAGCAGAGATGCTTTGGCAATTCTTACATATCTGAGCTATATAAAGTCTCTTCCAGATCTAGCAAGATGCAATTTCCCTAGTCCTCACTCCATGAGAAAAGTCCACACACACTCCCATCTTCTTATGTTAAGAACCATGAAGAAGACAAAGCCAATTTTATTGTTTTTTTTAAAGGAAATTCCTTTTCTCCATTGCCTCATGTCAATACAAAGGAGAGGTTGTTTCCTCCTTCAATAAGCATTCAGTATTTCATAACATGGAAAGTTCTTGCACAGAATGACCTAGATTTGAAAAGATATATTTTGAGAGCTTATCTCAGTATATTTTGGGACACAAAACAAATAATTTTCAGTGGTGAGTATTGCCATAGATGCAGCAGCAATTTACAAAAAGAACACTTAAAACTGAGGATAAGCATTTGTGTGCAAAACCACTTTGCCTTCTGCACCCTTTCTGAAAAGCAGTATTGATCTACACATGGGGAAAATATTTGCATTGTTTTTTTTAAAAAAAAAAAAGTTTGAAAGTATCCCGTTCACATCTGTGGGTGACTGCAGAACTGATACACAGAAAGTGCTCTTACACGGCTCTTTAGCAGAAGTAGCACTCTGGAGAACATCTGGGGAAGACATACAGGGATGATATGAAAGTATATTTCATTTACTTTATTTTTTCCAGATGACCCAGTAGCAGAACCTCAGCATGTACCAGTCTGAGAATTTTGGAACAGTTTAGATGGTAACAGATCAGTGAATATTGCTGACAGTAAATGTTGATGGAGTGCACTGCCTTTGGTGCTATGTCTGAAAAAGGGAGGGCTTCACACTGCAGTAAAAGAAGAATGGAAAACTTAAATAATTAAAGGTGCAGAAGAAGCTGACTTGGCTGTGTGTTTTGTGGCAGCCCATTTGTGAGCTGCTTGAACAGGCAGATCTAAGGCTACTTTACTGTCATTCTTGAGGGTTTATTATGGCATTCAAACAGCTGCTATCTCTTAGCACAACTCTGTCAACCTTAGCTTGATGACAATGAGTTCAGTTTTATGGTGATGTCACTGAAACAGGCTTGGGAGTTCCTCTGCCTTTACCATACAATTACCTTGGTTTGTTGTTGTGCCTCCAAGCTTCTCTTTGCACATTTCTCAATCCTAATCTGTGTCCACTTTATCCACATGGAGCCATTTACTCATGGCAGAGTCAGAAGCATCAATCCAGACTTACACTGTGTTACACAATTGTACAGCCATCGAGGCTGTGAAGTAATTTACCAAGTTATTCCTAATTTACACAAATAAAAGTGAAAATAGGATTGTGTCAAAGAGGACAGTAAGCTCTTATATTGAGGAATAACTTGAAAAGTTAAATAAAACCATCAAATTAAAAAGTTGCCTCATTTTAATTGTTATGGCAAATGGGAAAAACAGCCAACTTTATCTAGATAGTAGATACTATTAATACTACTATTAATAAATTAATGAATGCTTACAAATAAATTGGTGGTTAGTATTACAGCACCCCAATATATGTTCTATTCTTGCTCCTCCTTGCAGAGAAATCAAAATAATCTAAATTTAAGAATAAACATTTTGCTAAAAATGTCAACATTATGCTATTCCAGTTGGCAAGCTCCAAGAAGGAGGATTAAGCACATAAATGAAAATTTAGGACTGCACATTCAAACTTGAATGCTTGAGGGAAGACATACAATATCTAATAGATAGAGGTGCTAAAGCCTGAAGAATTTGGATCCAAATTTTTCACACTAAGATAGTGAAAAAAATGGTGCATAATACTTGTGTCACTGATAACAAATATAAAAGGAATTCAGAAATATAGTGGAGCAAGAGCAAGGAATATCTGGAGAAACTCAAAGCATCCCGAAGTCAAGATTATTCATTCTCCCAGAATTTCCCTCAATGTCAATGACCTCCTGTTGGTTTGGTAACAAGGATTCCCACAAACATACTCCCTGCATGTCAACCTGTGGTCCTGCAGAAAGAAATACTGAAGAATCTATTCATTTCTTTCCCACCTGAACACATTTTCTTAGAAGGGTCAACAAAAAATGTACATTAAACATTACCTGAAATTTGCAAGCAGCTCATTAATACAAAGAAAACACATTGCTTTAAACTAGAGCTATAAAAGCACAAATGCTTCTTTTGCTCTTACACCAGCTTTGGTTCAATTTGGTACAGGTTTTAGCTTGGTCAGATCAAGGACATGGTGAACAAATATGTACTTAATGTGCTGGCTTTAGAAATCCTTTATCTCCCGCTCCTCATTTCCACCCTGAGCAGCCTCCTCCCTGGGATGGGAACAGTGCTCTGAGCTCCAGTGAAAAGTGAGACACAGCACCTTAAACTGACAGGTGATTAATAAATTAACACATTTTACTCTGCACTGAACAAATGAGGAATGTTTACACACAAAATTCCAACATCTCAAATGAGAAGGCTGCAAGTCCCAGATGAGGAGCAATAACAAAAAAGCTGGATCACATTTCAGATTATCTTCATTCTACATCTTTTTGGTATTCACAGAAGAGTTTACATTTGATAAACTAACTAAACATTAAGCTTCAATATATGTTACCTCAGTGGGTTTAGGATTTGGGGTGGGGTTTTTTTTCCCTTACATAACCTATATTAAACATAATGGCTGAATGTAACAGTGATCTTGTCTTGTGTGGAAGAAAGAGCAATAAAAAAGGGGTTTTTTAAAAAAAAAATATTTGAGCAGTTTTGGTTTTTTTTACAAGGCTGGTCTTCTGAAAGTCTTTCTTTTATGGTACTTTCTAATATCTAACACAAATTTTGAAATCCTTTAACAAAAAGAGTATCCATCCAAAGCTTAATGACAAGGTACCTTCAACAGAATGAACAAACTAATTCTCTACAGAAAAATCACTCACTTCAAAGGCAAAAAAACTGATCCCAAATGTTTTGTGCAACTAGAAGGAAAGGGGCTCTCAGGAGTCCCCTGCAGCACACCATGTAAAAATAATGGTGGGAGCCACTGCCTCTAAGACATCCCGAGAGCAGAAATCAGTCATCTGCAGAGCACACGCTTAGATGTTCTCCGGGTTTATTACTCTGACTTTGGCTGGAAGGTTGATAAAGGCTCTGGAAACTGCAGACCCAAATCTATTTTTTATTAAAAGTTTTGGCAGCGGGACGGGTGCGTGCTTTACGATGAGCGAAGGGTGGGGGGAACGGAGTGCTGAAAAACCTCCAGTCACAGCACAGGGTTCCAGCACATCTGCCAGAGCAGCAAGGGCTGCGATTTCTGAGAGGCTTGTGGTTAACCTCATGGCACGGAATGAATTATCCCCCAGCCCTGGCCTTCATTAAGCCACCCATCCTCCGAAACGTGTCGGTGAAGACGGCGCATGGCCAGCCACTCATCAGCACGATGACGCTCCGTCCCCAGGATGCTTTCCTCTTGGCCAGGGGGGAACGGAGCTCTTCGTCCCGTGTGATTCCGAGCTGTCTGCCTTGTGTGCCGCCCAGAGGTACGAACAACTCTCCTGGCTGAATTCACACAGCCTGAGCACACACACATTAATGCTGGGTGTCGTGCAACGCGCCTCGCGAGCACAGACGCTTCTCAGACCCGCGTAACTGCATTCGCAAATATAAATCAGATACGAGGACTAAAGATGAGCTCTCTTAAGTGGCCCAAAAAGGGTAAGGGCAAGGGCAGCTGACAACGAAATTTGAAAAATTAAAAAGCCTTAATATGCTATCCAGGCACCTCCCAAGAAATCTCCGCAAGAATGTCTTAGGACAGAAGTGACCGGGAGGCTGAAATATTTAGATATAAAAGCTTTCATGCCTACTGTGTGGTTTATCCCTCTCTTGAGGATCATTCTTTACATGAGTGGTCATTAAGTAATTGCTACTATATGACACTTCAAATGGTAGAAAAGCAGAGAGAGAGAGAATAAACAAAATTGAAATTTTGTTGAGCTGCAGTTGACGAAAAAAGAATGGTACATGATTTTGGGCCAACATTTAAATGAAGGTTTTCCCAGATAAGATTATTTTAAAGTGTTCTTATGGTGACATCTGATTTGCTGGAGCAGTTTTTTATCATTTGCAACAGGTAGGAAAAGAAGCTGGGCTGAGGTGCTGTAAAACGCTAAGTTCTGGGAGGAGTGTATGGACAACTAATCAGGGCTCTTCAGTCAGACACTTTAGGCACCAAAATCATCACATCTTTCTCCAGAAGAGATCATCATATTTTCTCACAGGGAGAATAGAACAGGAATAGAAATACCATGGCAATGAGGGAGCTGGAAAACCTCACAAGGAAACTGCTCAAAATGTTCTCAGAGCAACACTTGAATGGTATTAAATAAATAAGGCATGTGAGCTACAAGAAGTAAAAATAAATCATGAGCTTACTTAGCACATTCAGTGAGCACAGAATCTCCTTGCAGTCTGTTTGGAAACTGAGATAGCACTTCAAAATCAAATCAGATAACCCTATCACCAAAAGGTAGGCTGGAGAATCCAACCAGTCACCAAATCCAGAATTATTTCCATTCTGGTTTAACCATTTTGTGAAGTCTCAGCACTCTCTCTTTTCTCATACAGAATAATTTTACTCTTGATTCTGAAAAAGTCATGCTGTGTTCCTGCTAACTTAAGGGAAATAATTACAATTGACTGAATGTTGGGAGAATCTTCTTTGAGGGTCACAAAAACAACAAGCAATTGGCAGTGGAGAAGAAATTTAAAAAGTAAAAAAGAGAAAAGATAAAATAATCATCTGCAGTAGAAGTTCAAGAAGGATCAACAATTTCAGCAAAGAGAGGAATATTTTGCAAAATGCATTAAAGGCATTTGGTCAATATCTTTGTACAAGGGGTTGTTTCCCTCATATTGTTGGCAGGGGAGAACTGAACATGTTTGCAGAACTTGAAGATTTATGGTTTGTACAATGAGAGGGTGAGATGGAATACAGAAGGTGTAATTGCTTAAAAAAATTGTGTGCCAACTTCACTTTTTTTTTTTTTTTTTTTGACAGAGCAATAGAAAATTCAGCCAAGTATAAACTATCCTAATTTTTGGTGAGACCAATAAGCTGTTACTTGCTGAGGTTGGAGTAGTGGGTGGTGGGTTTTTTAAGCAGTATTTACATTATTTCCCTTTGTTCTTCCCCTGACCCTTACCAAAATACCCAAAGGCTAAGAGAAAAGCCCTTTAATGCTGTATGCAAGGAACATGTGTCGCTAGAAGGAGCTGCTATGAGCTGACAAAATTTAAATGTGAAATCAATTTATTAAAAAAGGAAGTTCCAGGCAACATTGAATTCTGTATATGCAACATTCAGGTCATCTATCAGGAGCAGGAGATGCACTTCTAGGGTTCAGCTTGGCTAAGCTCTCATTTGAGCTTTCATCTAACCTTCTCTTTTATTCCTCCTACCCAGATTATATAAACCTGAGCTTAAATTACTGTACTGTAATTAATGGGCTCAGTTTCCTCACTTTTTTTCAGTGTTAAACCTAATGCATCATAGATGGGTTAAAAAGGTGTTTCAAAAGGACTGAACTTGACACCATTCTGAAATTCAAGCCTGCTAATATTTTTTTTTTAATTTTACACAGATAAAAAAACAAAAAACAAACATACATTCATACATAGATATGTATATATATATACATATATATATACATATATATATATACACACATATATATATATATATGTATCTATTTCAGTCTCCACGAGTCCTGCATGGCCTCCCTGCTCTGTTTCAAATTTCAAGTTGCCAAAATGAAGCTGTTTCTCCCTCCAGCTTCACAGATGCTAGTCCTTAGTAATCACATCTCCTCACTTGCTTCACATTTATTCTATGAGTCACTCGAGTAAAGGAGAGACTGGTCAGAGAAAAAATTGGGGTGGTGTGATACTTAAATACAGCAGTAATAAACTCAAGAAGTGCACCCAAATGGACCTGAATATCATTATTATTGTAACCCTGACCCTTCCTCTCCCTGCTCTTTCCTGCCCCCACACATATGCACATACACTTCTCCTCCCATTCACTGACTTCTGTCTGAAATAAGATCTTTTGCTCCTAAGAACTGGGCCACTTCTTTCACAATCCTCAGTTCAAGTGCTTTTATACAAGCAAAGAGTAAGTCTGACAACCAGGCAGATACCTGGATAAAATTAGTCTAATTCCCTGTAGGAAAGGATGCTCCTTAACTAATACTTCAGTGAACATGGACAAAAGCCTTTTCTTACTTATTTTGAGATGGTCTTTCAAGTAGAGACTGAGGTAGAAGAAACAGACTGATGCAGTGTGAATAAAACTGTAATATTGCTTCTGCTCATTACATACCCACTTTATAATGTAATTATAGTACATTAAAATGAAAATTCATAATTTACAATGTACTAAAGCTCAGCTTTCATAAGCACTATCACATGAACAAAAACCTTCTAATTTACCTTCTCTAAGACGTGTCAAAATCATCCACTCACTTTTAAGAAAATTAATAAACTATATGAATAAACAACATGTTATTGTTGGCAGCTGTTTCACAAAAAAATATAAGGAAGCTGGTTCTTCCAATCCATCTGCTTCAAGGTAGTTATAAACTCAGTGAACTAACAAGTCCAATAAATAAAAAAAAATTAAACCCCCAAAGTGACAAATTAAATTTTGTTTTGTATACTGTGAAATGCATCATCCTTATTCTCGTGTTTTTACTCAGAACACAACTCAGGGGATGACTTTGCTACTGATACATAAACTACTGAATGAAAACAGACATTAAGTCATTTCTCCCTTAGAAAAAAAGAAAAAAAAGACATATTGTTACACAGTTTTTGACTTGAGCAGAGCTCTGTGCTGATGTACCTGGATGTGGTCCTCTGAGACCTAGTTCTGTTCTCTCTGAAACCACTGCCCTGTACCCATTAAACTAACTTGCTTTCCTTACATTTCCTTTAGCATTAATTTTTCCAGCTTTTTCATTTTTTTTCTCCCACAAGCTACATCAAAATGAGGACTTCAGCTTCACAGAGTTTCTTTGGTACAGTCTTCTCAAACATTTTCAAAACTAAAGTACTCTTACACATTTTTTATAACAGAATTGCCTCAAAAGCTGGATGTTTTCTGTGTTCAGGTGGTATCACTGAGTTTCCTTCAGCAGATTTAAATTGAGTGGGCTGAGAAGGTGAAAGACTGAGACACAATGCAGTGGCCATAAAAGGATGATCTGGAATTGTCATATTTGTATTTTTGCATTCAGTAACTGTAACTCACCAGAAGCAGTGCTGAAAGGGAAAAAGAACATGTGGAGAGGAATATATTACATAAGACTCTCCACTGCACACAGAAATAGATGCTTTGGGCACAAACTATAAAACATTTCTCTGCTGGAGTGAGAGTGTCTACAGGGAGATCTCACACCACTTCATCTCACCAAAGACTGAAACAGCAACCTACTCCTTTCTGGAGTCTCCATCTCTCACATTTAGGGGCACTAACGAGGCAGCTGCCAGTCTCTGAAGGGTGCATTCAATCTGGTTGTGTGTTATTTGGAATTCTTTTTCCTGCAGGGAAAAAGATTACCTATGACAGGCTGGAACTCCTTGAGAGGCAAGGAAGCATTGTCAGAAGAAAGAGGCAATAGCCTTCAGCATATGAATGGTGACTGGGGTACTTCTGCAAGGAGCAGAGAACAAAATCCAGGCCCTGGAGAAGAGAGAAATTCCAGTTTTTATTTTAACATCTTAGAGAGGATTGATTAGAGCTTATTATAACACAGACAGCCATGAAAAACTGGTGGACAGAGAACAAAGCACGCACAATCCCCCTGCAAGGACAAGCAGGCAGATGGGATATCTGTTCTCACCCTTTCTCTGCCTCTATTTTGCCCTACCCTAGACCTAATGTTTTCAGTTTCTGAAGTTGTTTTGGCCATCTAGAACTGGGGGATTCCAAGTCCAGCTGGTAGAGATGTCTCTGGGAAAAGGCACAAGGACCTTCACCCCATTTCTGCATGGGAACCTGCAGGAGCCAGGACAGTGCTCAGCTATTACATCCAACCCCATCAGACATCATAAAGCAAAGAGAGCTGAGTAATTGCTGCTGTCAATAAATTCAGTAAATAAGTGGATCATAAACGATCCCAAATTGTTACCCTTTTTTTTTTTTTTTTTGTATCTAAACTACAGTAAGTCAATCAATCAATCGATCAATCAATCCATCCCTGATAATGACTGACTCATACTATGATCCTTAACAGGCATCCAGACAAATAATTGCATGATATTGCTTTGAGGTAAAAAAATATATGCCTTACAAAGAGGACACCAATACAAAGGATGACTCTTGGTTGATTTAAAAACCAAACTAGAGATTTCCTTCACCTTGAGTCCTCAACTTTGACTTTCAGATGTATGTTTTACCATAAGGATCCATAAATTTTCCAAATGATTTGACAACACCTAAAACACCTAACTATTTTATGAGACTTCATAAATAGCAGTGGACTAAGTTATGTCTGACCAATGCACTTATTGTCCATTTCATAAGAAAAAAAAGTGTTTGTCATTTACACGTGCGCTAAAATGCTCACAACACATATCTTCCCAGGTGATAAAATATCTCCTTTTCAGCGCTGACATGAAATGCTCTCATTTGTGGAAGGCCAGGACATGCATCAGGAGGAGAGCTGTGCTGCCACAGCATAATGAATGCTAAGTACAAGTACAGGTGGCTTCAGCCAAGGTTGCACTCGTGGCCCGCAGCTCGCTCGTGTAGCAGCAGCACTGCACGGCACAGCACGAAAGCTGGGTGGTGTCAGCACTGATATCATCACAGCACAGAGTCAAAACATGGCCACTCTTCCAGCACAAGGTTTCAGGAATCCAGTGTCCTGGCACAAACCTTCAGAGCAGACAGGAGCTGGAAAAACTCCAGTCTGAGAGGAGCTATTGCAACTTCTATTTAAAGCACAATGTGCTAAGAAGCTTTGCTAAACCCTAGAAATGAATAGCATCCAAATAACCTGCATTTCCAATTACTTATATTCAGTCAGTCCAAACACATGCCACAGCATTAAATTCCACCCAAGAGTCTGGCTCACCATACTTCATTCCCTGGAATACCAACTTTAGAACACAATTATTCTAGGTAAAATGGTAGAAGCCAAAGCCCTTAAAACAAAAACAAAAAACCAAAAACAACCTAGCAAAAAAAAAAAAAAAAGGGGGGGGGAACATGTGTCTTTAATACATAAATCTGGCACTGCATCCTTCCAATTAACAGCCTCTTCTGCTATGAAATAAAATACTGAAAGGTAATAAATGTATCAACAATAGATGCAAATTTTTTTCACCAAGATGCAATGGTCCTTGCAAAAGGATTGCAAAAGTCTTCTACAGATTCCTAGTGACATGGATTAAGTGGATGAAGAAAAACAGAAAAGTTCAAGAAAACATTCACTTAAAGCAGGAATTTCCAAACATGTTGGAGGTACCACAGATTTTCCTTTTCTGCCCAAGTGACTCTTGAGTGTTTTGCATTTAAAGGCAAGTAAGACAAACCAAAGCACTCTGCAGTCAATTCTGCATTGCCATGACCAAGGTAATAGCTAATCAGCTCCAGAGCACAGCTCTTTCTTCAGCTAAGATGGGAACTATTATCACATTCAAGTATTGCCAGCCCAGCCACACACCTCTCTCAGCTCCTTCTCTACAAAATCCTCCCTTCCTCCTCTTAGGCATTGCGATTGCTTTTGCCCCTGTAGTTGTAGTAGCAGAACAAGTGTCAGTGAGATTGCTAGAATTGTATAAAATACAAGGAAAATAAAGTGATTACAGGAGTATTTTTACAAGGGAGCAGGCTTTTTATCAGATCACAAAAGAGTTCCACAATTTTGCTTCCACAACAGAGGAAGCTGGGTGCTGCAAAGCAAAGGTGGAGCAAAAACGCGCTGAGCTAATCATGTCACTGAATTTTGTAAACAAATCCACAGCAAATTGCAAAGATCACTGGAAAAAGAACACGAAGAGACAGCTAGTAAACTGTGGAATTCACCATGCAGGGTGAGGAGGAGACAGTGACTTTGGAATTACAGAGTCTTTCACAAGGTATTGTTTTCCTAATGATTTTTGACATCTCCCTGTTTAACACTACCAGACGTTCCAACAATGAGCAAAGAATTCAGTTTTATCACCCCCAACATATCCATGGGTGGGCTAATTTTCAACTGATAGCAATAAATAATTTTCATTGTACAGAATCTTTGTGGGTTCTTTTTCACTGCTGAAGCAGTCCCTTGACAAATTAGGAAGTGGAATTGGATAAAGGGTCTTGTGGCAGTAGCAGGCAGCCAGAAGAAATTCAGATGAGTGACAAAACAAATTACTTTAATTAAGCAGTCCTTGCCTACCTTGCCCATCTGTATTTATGTTACAGCTGTACTCCAGGTAGGATCCATAAAACTGTCCCTAAAATAGGTTGGACAGGGGCCCAGGGGACTGTGATTGTTGTGAGGCCACAATTGACTTCAACTGCCCTTGGAGGTTCATTATTTGTCTTTGTTCTCTCACAGTTAAATATTCTTCCCAAGAAAGGACAGGAACAAGGAATGCTGCTTCATACAGCACAACAAGTCAGACACTACTTCAAGAATCTGCTTGAAATTCCAGAATCTCTTTTCACCAAATTTCAACCTTTTTTAAAAAAATAAATAACAAATCATTCTACTGTGACTATGTTCCATTCCAAGTTACAACAGGCTACAAGGACACAACACCTGCTGAGTGCTTTGTGCAGCAGAAGCCTTCTTCCTAAAGCTGAAATACGGAATGGAATAGCTTCCCAATGACTTGCTAGGTTACAAATGCTGCAGAAATCTCCTCCATGGCACTAACCACTCCACATTTAGAAAGAAAAAACAAACAACCTCTTGCTCCCAGAAGGGCACCAAAATATGTGAAGTGCATATGTGCCCCACACACTTGATCTACTTTATCTGCAAGAAAGGTGAAGAGTTAATTGCTTGTGAAAGTTACTGGAACCTTACTGATACCTATTCAGTATCTGAAAACATTCCCTTTGAGGAGAAATGAGCTGGAGTCAGAGGTGTTTTGTCAAGCAAACTTGAACTGACTTCTTGGCTAGCTTGCAGTTCACAACCACATCTAGCTGCTGGTAATATATGTCAGGACAGTATCACTACTTCTACCTAAAGATGACCAAAACATTAAATCAAAACTCACACTTCCCCTAGAGATCATATCCTTATCCCATCCACTCCCTCCATTTCAGCTCTGCAACAAAATATAACTAAAAATAGAAGACGCCGGCTGACAATGGGGAAAGCATTTCAATAAGGAAGAGAGATAAGTGCAGAAGAGTCATCCCTTCTGAAATAAAATAAAACATTCCATGTTTGCATTGATGTTTACATTGAATGCCTCTGCCTTTTACATGCTGTCAGGCACAGTAAAACTGAGCAGATGTATATGCAAGAATGTAAAGTCATACTGCCTCAGGCCAGGCCAGCTTGAACTCGTCTGATTTTTTTTTTCCCTTGGTGTTTTAGTTTTAATACTGTTTATACACATTCTTAGGGTGGGGTGGGGGGGAAGGGGAAGATAAAAGAGAATTATTTGTCCCTTTGTCAGTCTGGAGAAGATGGATTTTTTTTTTGTTTTAATCTTCATGCCCTGTGAAATCTTCCCTGTCCCAGAAATACAGCTCCCACTGAGCTACTAAACCAAGGTGTCTCAGAGTTCACAATCTCCTTACCATGATTTGTTTCTGATTTAAGATCTTTACTGAAGGATACCAACAAAAGCAATAGAAACAACACAGTGGAAACCATAAGTTAGGATATGAAGTCAAGAAGAGGAAAAGAATAATGAATTCTTGAAAACTTACTTGAATTCATTACAATCTAATTTAATTCCAAATTCAAATCCTCCTTGGCCTGAACCTAAATTGAGCCTGTAGCAAAATTATTTGAAAAGAATATGTAAGTATTTTGCAAAATACTCAACACTGTTCATAGAAATCTACTTTGCTTATATCTATACATATATCTACATATTAGAATGACAAGAAATCTCAGATTTAAAAAAAAATAAAACCAAAAAAGAAAACAACACCAAAACTAAGCTCACAAAAAACCAAAACACTGATAGTCAGAAATGACTTTGCATTTCAAAGTTTTTGTTTTCCTCTTTCTTGGTCATTGAGATTTCATTCCAATGATGAGCAAGTGACTGGAATTACAAGAGTTCACATTAGTTTTCTGGGCAAGCAGAATCCTTAGCAAACATAAAAAAAAACACTGGAAAGAATTCATGGAAGGCCCAAGCCTGGCATGAAATCAAACTGCAGTGTACCATCTGGTAAATAGGTTTTTTCTTTTCTTTACCTCTGCTACAAAAGATGGGTGAGTATGTAAGAATTCACTACTTTTTTCCATCTCTGGTTTGTGTTTCTGGTGTTTGGTTTGCTGGTATTTTTCCCCAAAATGTGTGCAAACAAAGAATCCCTTTAGTTGCAGTAGATGACACTGTTGCTTCTTTACCTCTTCCAGATTTCCCAATAGTTTTTCTCATTTATTCTGAGGTGTGGACATGACAGCATTACATATTTGTCATGGAGGGTATCTGACCCAGCCCTGTGACTCTTCTCTTTCGTCTGGGACCCTTTGCTGCTCTCTACATCTCTCCATCCTTTGGAAGCACAGGAGAGCCAAGGCAATATAAGGCCTGGAAGGGTCATCATCAGCCACACAACAACCTTTTTATGGGAAGATGGAAAAGGAATGGATGTGTATGTCCCAGCTTTAGTTTGTGTTTGCCGTGATATTATACTATAGCATAATTCATAACAGGCTGTGAGTTTGTGCTTTACTTGATAACTTTTGGGATAGCTTCCTTAGCTGATATTTTGCCTCACCTAAAACTAATGAGGAGAAGCAAGCTGGAGCTTCCTCCCCTCATGTCTGTTCTAAGTCATTCCCTTGGAGGATGCTTTACTTGCAGAAGATTGGGACTCAATTTTCCACATAATTTTTTGTGTAAGAAAAAAAAACTCTGAGGGAACAAGGACAAGTTTCTCCACAATGAGTTACTAGAGGCTAATATGATCAGCTAGACCTATGAGTTTATATCATTTTTTTCCAAACATTTCTCAAAACTGTGTAAAAAATAGAGGCTTCCTTTTGTACATGGTGACATCTAGCACATGCAGTAGTATCTTACCTTAATGGCCAAAAATATAATTCATAGATATTAAAGTACCTGAAGAGACATTTTTGAAAAATAAAGATATTGACCCCTGTCATTCTGTTCTAATGTAGATCACCATTCTAATTCCCTCACCAATTTTAATTCCACATGGAATGCACTCCCACTCTTAAATTATTGCAAATAGAGATACAACAACCAATCTTCAGTCAACAAAAATCCACACCACTTCCTTAAGCAAAGCAACAGCATTTTCCCAGGAGAGCATGCACTTGTGTGCATATCTTTGTTTTAAGTACATAATTAAAGACAAATATGAATATTTCTGGCAAGGCCACTGTGGTATCACGGATGTCCATTTCAAGTTAAGTCTCTCTGCACGTTGTCAGTGCCTCACGCTGCACACGGTTTCCATTCTGTTCCCTTCAATGCTCTTGGAAGCAATTGAAGTCAAAACATCCTGGAAGAAGAGTTCAGGTTTTTACACCCCTGGTTTCAATTATTTTTAAATCTGACACACAAACACAGCTTTTTCAGATATGTAAGTGGAGTGCCAAATAAGGATCTTTTGATTTTTTTTTTTTAAGTACATGTGGTTGAAATCTGAGACCTGCCTGCTGCCAAGCCACAGTATTTGGAATCAAGTACTGGCACAAGAAAATAAGCCATTGTTCAGAGTATCATTTTAAGAGGAACTGTCCTGCAAAAATGAAAACTTAAATTCCCATAGTTTAGCTCATAGTTATAAGACAATCCCATAATTCTTTGTTAAACACTTGAAAGTTGAAATATAGGTCCTAGCAATGTTTATCCAGGCTTTCAGAAATAATCTTTTGATATAAACTACACTAAAGCCAATAAGTTTTTCTCCATTATAAAAAGAATCAAAATTATAGGATGGGATAGTCCATCTCATCAATGATTTTCTCGTGGCTCGCTGACATTGTCGCTTTTGTGCAAAGCTGCTTCCATATTTTTGAATGTATCAGCAAAAGTAGTAACAGCTCCTAACTGAGATAAAAGTACATTGAGGGTAATACTGTATCATTAGGTAAGGCTGAGCAACATCACATCCCTGATTTTAGAGGCCAAAAAAGCATATTTTTTAGATGTATACACATTTAAGCACTTATTTGCAGGCCCTCTGAGGGAGCCAGAACTTCAGCCACTCTCAGCTTTGACCAAGTAAAAAAAAAAAATTAAAAGAAAAAAATGTTTCCTAAACTAACAAGGGCTCAGAACTTAATTTTATTACAAATAACACTTCCTAGAATCATGGATGAGCATGAAGGGCATAGATGAACAAAGTAGAGATCTGGTATTTAGCTTTTGTGAGGGTTAAGGTTGCATAGAAAGCACACAGTTATGTACCATGGATATTCACATACAAAATTAAAGAAGTTGAAAATTAAATTGAGAAGGCTGACCTCCTGAAGATAAAACTAAGTCATTGATTCTAAACTCAGCTAGTGAAACAAAGGAAAAAATTTAAAAACATAAATTTTTCCGTTCATTGAACAAAAATGTGCAGTAGATTTGTTTCTTCTAACAAAAGAACTAATACGGTAAATGAAAAAAATCATTAAACAGCCCATCTAGTAACACCTCCATTAGCCTAGGGTTTTAACTATGAATGTGCTCCTTCCAGTGCTTGATGCCAGAGTAACACACCAAGTCACAATGTTTAAACTTAAATTAGAGAAAAAAAAATTATTTATCTCAATGCTCAAATTTCAGTCCTTTGTGAACACACTGGTTCAGTCTTTCCCACTCAGGTTCTTCTACAAAGTCAGAGCCAAGTTAGACCCAGATCTACCTTTGACAAGAAGCATAATTTTTAGGAATCCTTCCTATTTTATTTTCCTTAGAGAAGAGCAACAACATCACTGATTTTTAAGGTGTGTACATTAAGAGAACATGCCTGCTCAAACCAATGAAAGAAACTCCCAAGTATCTTAACTTGCCTCCTGGAAGATTCTCACAGGTTGGGCACCTAGCCTAGAAACTTTAGGATACTGATAACTTACTGAATCATGGAGGACTCAATGAGTCATGGAATTATGATGTTCTGTGTGAAGTGTCTGTGTGCCAGCCTGCACAGGCAGAGCAGCCCCTGTGTTCAGGCTGGCATGCAAAGCATGTGCAGGTGCAGAAAAACATCACTCTGTATCAGAGTACTCAATATCAGGGCACACCTGCATCACTGACTTTTCAGTCTGAGCTTATTATCTGCTTCGAAGACCTAACTTTAACCAAATCTGGGAG